GTGGAGAGGGAAGTCCAAAAATTTGAAATAAAATTATTTCTTTTGTCATAAATATTAATATTATAATAATAAATAATTATAATAATAATTATTTATTATTATAATATTAATATTTATGACAAATATTAATATTACAATAATTATTAATTATCTTAATGTTTAAATCTAAATAATTTACTTCAGTATTTGATACAGAAGTGTTCTCAATCTGTAGAACTGCAGGATAAATGTTACCTATGTAATTACTTATTCCTGGATTATTAATACTAATCAAATCGTCAATATATCTGTATGTTAAGGAAAATAATTCTGTATTTTGAAAAATTATTTATGAATTTATTTTCGTAATAATGGAGATATAAGTTGGCAAAACAGTTCAGATAATTAGCACCCATCAGTATATCTATTATTTGTCTATAAATGTGCTTGTCAAAATAAATATAATTATTATATACACAAAAACTATAAATGCTTTTAATCTTATTAGCAGTAAAAGTTTGTTTTTCTATTTCTATGGGTAGATCTATAAATTCATCTATTAATGAATTTATCACTATTACCAAATCATTAAGTGGTATAGATGTAAATAACGTAGTAGAATCATATGTTTGAATTGTATCTGCTAATTGTGTTTTATTTAAATTTTCTAAAGGATTATTAACTCACAGCTTCTTGGGTATTGTAGAATTTGTAGTAATGTACAGTTCTTAATATATAATATTAATACATAAATTGATTTTTAACTGGTTTGAGGATAAAACTTTAAATATTTTAAATCATTTTATAATTAATATAAAAAATATTTATACAAATTTGAAAATGGTGATTTAAACAATATTATAATATGCACAATAAAAAATAATTTCTAAAATTTATCATAGAGGAAATAATTTGAATTACTTATTGGACATTTCATATCTTATATAGGTAGGTTAATGTAGTGGTAGTTATATCACTTTCTGTATATAAGACTTGCTACTCTGTGGATCCCTCTAGAACCATTGAAGATCCAGATAGAAGCATGGAAGGGTGGAGGATGGAAGCTATACTTATAATATTGGTTGGGCTTGTATAGTAATACCTTAACATCTTGGTATTTATGTCCAAACATCATATTAGGGGCTGGAACGCTAACTTTAAAGGCAGTTTTGCTGTTTCCCCCCATTGGTGTAATGTAATCTATTATTTCTTTGTGTTTTTTATTTTAATTTTTAAAATTCTTTTGTATTTCATTTTTTTTCTTGTGAACAACCGCCTTCTCACATCTGGCTGCAGACAGTGAAAGATGGTAAAGATGTGGGACGTTGTGTGCTAGAGCACCCACATCAGCTCAATTTTTTTTTCCTTTATTTGAAACTGGCAAAGTTGAGGTTAAACTGGATAGATGGTGTACCCCCAATGCAATTAGGGTCTTACTTCTGCCAGTACCTCTAAAAATCAGGCACATTACATGATGACCCACCTTATGATTTGTGCCCTGGTGTTGGATGTTTGTATTTTGGCTGCAATTTTTTTTCCTTCTCTCCCATGATTTTACATTTAATTGTATTTCATCTAAGGTTTGGACATGCTGTATAAGATTCGCACAATCCTTCCTTATGATGTATTCTCTTTTTTAATTTTTAGCTTTTCTAAATAAATATATATTTATATATAAAACAAATATTACACATAACTTCCATTACAATGTTAATGACTAAAATTTTATGGAGTAAAAAATTTTAATTTCTTGCTTATAAACTAAAAAAAAAGACATCATATAAATAATAACTTTTTACCTCTTACCATGATATACAAAATTTCATCAACAATGATATGCATTTTCTGCTTAGATATCATAATACATTTACATTAAATGCTTTATAATTTCTACATTTCTTTGATTGATCTGAACAGTTAATTTGTTTTATTTCACTCTATTTTTGTAATGCATAAACATTACAGATATACCATTAAAAAAGCTTTTCAAGTACTTTCGTTTTATTTCAATAATCATTAGGTATGTAAATAAGTATTAAAGTTCTCATTATCATTAATTTAGATAAATAACGTTAGATGAAAGCAGCAACAATAATCATTTTCTAGTCATCAAAACCTTATCCTCATTGATAAACTAAAAACAGCTGAGTATGGTAACAATGGAATACAGATTTGATTCACTAAAACAGTTACCATGCATATCATATTAAGTCTTTTTCTAGAAAGAGGAATTACTAATTACTTAAAAGAGAGCATTCTAATGAAAAATATAAAAACAATATTTTTACTATTTTTATTGTTAGGAACATATTTTAAGGCACACCCAAAGTTAAAAAAAAAAGAGACAACTTTTATGTTTCCCTTTTTATGTTAAATCCTCTAATAGCAACTAATAGAAACCTTACAGTTACAATGCAGTGATTATATATATATATCCAGGTTTTTTTCAGTTTTTAGTATCAGTGATTCACATTATTAAGATGTTTTTAAAGTTATTAGGTATATATTTCATAGGTTTTACCAATGTTTTCTGGTTCAACATTATCTCTAAACTTGAATTTTTTTATACATGAATATATAATAAATTTACCACTACTATCACCCACAAATGAAACAGAGTACTGAATTTCCTTACATAGTATAATATAAACAAGAAACATAGCCTGAAAAAGCCTTCTTTGTTCTTAAACTGAATGTAATTAATTCCCCTGAGGCTACATAAGTGTATACTTCACCATATTGCGTAAACTGAACCTCGGATAATCTAATAATTTAAATGTTTAAGTTACATTGTAAGTACAAAAATACTTTAAAGATCTGAGTAGTTCTTCAAGAATGAAGCTTTCTTTTAGTAGTGTGTATAATGTGTACAGATATCACTGTAACCATCAAAAGTTAATGTTGGAACTTTGTATCTTTGGAAAATGGAAATGAATATATATTTATCCTTAGAAATAACAGCAGCTAAAATTGCAAATTTAAAAACTTGTAGAGACAATGGTTGTACATAAAAGATGAACATATCTGAAACAAACAAGGACAAAAAAATGATAAATCCCAACTTAATGTTTTCTAGTGGAATTAATGTGCAACCATCTTTGACTTTTGATTGTCCAGTGGTAAATCCCTTGTTCACAAAAGATTTCTATACGCACATTTAGAATTTACCCAAAGATATTATTGAAAATAATGATGGATATATTCAGAAATGATTTTCCAACTGGAAATCATAATAATTTCAGCTTGTTTTCTTTGTCTTTCTCTTATCAGCTTCTGTCAAAAGGCTAACATTTGGTCTAATATCCTTGTACATTATCTGAAAGGGAACAGAATGAGACTAAATTAAAGATAAAAATATCTAGATAGTTGTCATTTTGTACAGATTAATTTTTAAATATTTTTTGTAAGTGTTTTACAAATTACATGTATATTTGAAAAATTAAAATATAAAAATGAGAAACCTCCCAATCAGCATGTGTCATATCATTATAGATGTTTGCATACAACACCTATTTATCAGAGAAAAAATATTCACTTGCATTAGCTTATTAAATTTTAACTTTGTTAGACATACATGACTGTTTCCATTTAAGATTAATGTGAGAGTTATGATCTAGATAGTTTATACAGTGCTAGTGTTAAATTTAGTCATTTTAGAAGTGACAGTTTATTACAGGTTTGTTTACGTATCATACGTTGCGTAGTTCAATATTTATGAATTGGCGATTGTTATAATATTTTGTCATCTTTCTAGAAACTTCTGTGTTTTTCTTGTTTTAATTAAGTATTATTACATAATAATGTCTAGTAATGTGTGGAACATTTTAGACTGCTGTCAGGATATAAATACACATCGAAAATATACTTAGAGACAGATCTAGACTGCATGATTGTGAATTTAGTCATAAAGAATGTGTAGTGGCGATTTTAAAAGTGAAATTATCACAAATTGTATTATAATAGCAAAGTAGAGAAGAATAATTTGTCTTGTCAATTGTGTTCTAAAGTAACTGAACCAGCCTGTGTGAACTTTGACGAAAAAGAGACAATTACTTAAAGCTCTGGATACAACTGTGATAACCAACATTGTAATGAACATTTGTGTATATGTTTGACTTGTTTTAATATATTATTTTAAAACAAATGGACTGTGTGCTGTTTGTTTATTGTTGAAATTTATTACCAACAAGTCACAGACACCTACTGTAAAGAATCTGGCCCACACATAAAACCTGACAAACTTTAAGAACTAATATTTAGGAAAGAATACCACCAAGCAAAGAAAAAACAATATGAAATTGTATTGAATACAGCAAATGGCAAGAACATGAATTTTAACAAATGAAAACTAAAACTTGAAGTATCATTGACTTCTACTGCGTACTTGCACATTCTAAAATCTAAAAGATAAAGTAAAAAACATTTAGTTTTACCTTTTTTGAGTAAGTCATGTAAGATTTATCATGTGTACTAATTGGAATTATTTCCATCATATATCTAAATCTATAAAAACAATAGTCAAAAATGTCACAATAAACTATTTTCAAATGATCAGCAAAACATGAGTCACAATTATCTTCAATAAAATTTGTTTAGATAAGCTAACTCAGTACATATTTGAGTACATTGTGAAATTTATCACTGGAACTTTGTTAAGATTATCCCAGCAATACCAAAATATCTTGCTCCTCCTAAGTCAAAAATAATACTGTAAAATACATATAAGCATATTAAGTTCTAATATACTTCAAGCTGAAGAATGCAAATATTACATAGCTCATTCTTCCATGTTATATATTTCCTATTCTCTGATACTATATTTCCTATCTACAAAATGTTCTAACTTTTTAAATTTCTAATTTTGGACAAAATCTGGTTGAGTCGTGTTAAATTCAGCCAAACGTATTACTTTCTGTCTGGTTAAGTAACTCAAAGTTTTATTGTATTCCTTTACCTTGTGTACAGAGGACTATCTTGTGACTGACACATAGAGCAGAGATATTTCTGCATTCTGATGCCCATTTTTTCATTAATTAGTGAGCAACAGAGAAATGAGTATTATGGATCCAGTTTTGGTGCTTTCTGTCAGGTTTTTATATAAATGGATGATCAGGATTCTTTACAGTAGATGTCTGTGACTGAGGCCTAGAACTTTCTACACACTATGAGATGTTATAATGTAACAACACTCACTTAAAGCAACAATAAAAATTCAGATGTTTTGAGTAACGTGATGTCAATTCACAACAATTTAAATACATACCAGATGATTCATAAATAACTTAGTAAGCAAACTTGTCATAATTATCGCTTCTAAAAATAGCTAACATTAATGCTTGCACAATATAACTATCTAAATCATAACTTTCTAAATTTAAATGAAACAGTCGTGTATATATAACACTTTCAGACCTGATTCGTTCTGACTTTTGAGAAAAGAGAATTCTTGTCCTACTTCTGAGAGTTAAGACTTGCTTGTGAAGTCCCATCTGTTTCAAGACTTATAATTGTTGCTTCTGCTGATTGTGCTTGCTTAATTTTACATAAAGTTTACTTCCAAGTTGAGTTTTTCTTAGTTAAATACATTCACAATAGTTCTACCATTACAATAGTCAGCTTCCAAGTTTTCAAATTGTCATCCCAAGATATAAGTCCTATTTTTATAAAGACTTCCATATTGTGTCTTATCTTTTATATTTCAAATTTTTACCACTGTCCTAGCTTCCATATATGATATCAACAAAACTTCTAGTTCTGCAGAAATCAAGCACCTCTGGACTAGTTTTAACCTCGAAACTACCACACAGCATCGTACGAATCAAAGAAGCAATAGTTTGCATCCACTTATCAGCATCAATTCAGTTATATAACACAGTATTTAGTCATCCTTCACTAATACTAATACCATAAATTTAAATCCTCCATGAATTTATTGCTTAAAAACAATATTATAGATAAATTCAAAAACTAAGAACTGATCCTATAATACTAATGTACTGTTAGATACACATAACTGTTTTAATTTTTAGTGTGAATGTTAAGTTTAGTTATTTATAGAATTATACATTGTGTAGTTCAATTGTCATAAATTGACAATTTTTGTATTATTGCATCATGTAACAAGAACCTTCTAAGTTTTCTCGAGTATTATTGAATCATAATACCTTGTAATGTGTAGAAAGTTTTAGGCTTCAGTTGGGCTATTTATAAATACATGTCCAAAATGTTGTTCAAGTAAAACAAAGTTGGTGAGAGTTTGTTGGTTTTGAATTTCGTGCAAAGCTACATGAAGGCTATCTGTGCTAGCTCTCCGTAATTTAGCAGTGAAAGAGTAGAAGGAAGGCAGCTAGTCATCACCACCCACTGCCAACTCTTGGGCTACTCTTTTATCTATGAATAGTGGGATTGACTGTCACATTATAAAATCCCCACAGTTGAAAAAGCAAGCACGTTTGGTGGGATAGGGATTTGAACCCGTGACCCTCAGAATATGCTGGGCCAATTGGTGAGATATAGTCAAAACAGATCTGGACTGTGTGTTTGTGAGTTTAGCCATAAGAGCGTATAGTGGCAATTTTTAAAATGAAATTATTGCAGATTGTATTATAACAACAGAGTAGAGAATAATAATTTGTCTTGTCAATTGTGCTCTAAAGTAATTGAAAAAAACCTGTGTGGACTTTTGAAGAAAAGAGAATTATTTAAAGCTCTGGATACAATGGTGATAACCAACAGTGTAAATTAAGTGAAATTATCACAGATTGTACTGTAACAATGGAGCAGAGGAGAATAATTCAACTTGTCAATTGTGTTCTAAAGTAACTGAACCAGCCTATGTGAACTTTGATGAAAAGAGACAATTATTTAAAGCTCCGGATACAACTGTAGTAATTAACTGTGTAATGAACATTTTATACGTTTGACTTGTTTTAATACATTATTTTCAAATAAGTGTGCTGTATAGTTATTGTGGAAATTTATCGCTAACAAGAAACAGACACCTTCTGTAAAGAATCCTGCCCACCTGTAAAAACCTGACATGTAGAGTACTTTTCTTTCATAATAAATCTTATACAAAAAAAAGTACTTTTTACATGTTTATTTTATCATCTACATCTAGAAAACAAAATAATAATATCTTTCAAGTTTTCAAGAGTTACCGACAACATATGCCTACTTTTCTAAAAGATAAATAGCATGTAAAGCTATTAATTTTTTAAAATATTCAAAGTTTAATTACCTTTTCATCATTATCAGGGACCCTGGAAAGGAAGTCCAAAAGTTCGTTGTTTGGTACTGCATGTGGATTGCGCAGTTTTTTAGTAAATTTGTTGATTCCTAGAAAAGGAAAATAACTGTGAAGTTAATGCACTGTAACTGAAAAAAAAAAGATTCTATTCAAACTGGTTTACAAAAAGAGAGCAGAAACTCATGGAGTAAAAAAAAATGTGAGCATTAATAAGCAATAACTTCAATTAAATCTCACACATTGGTTCAACCAAACTGATCTTCACAATGGTATTAATTCATTGCTTTATTACTAGCACTCTCTAGTTTTGTTTTCAAAAATTTTACACTTATTTGAAATCATTACTCATTTTAAACATTCATAAACATAACTAAATTTATTTCTAAATGACTTAGTGGCTTACTGGTAAGCTTGCGGGCTTATAATGTTAAAACAAACAAATTCAACTGACTGCTTTCACCATCAACATTTTTTTTATCATTTTGTGAAAGCATGGATTCAGAGTAACAGAGGACTTTTGTTAATTTCAGGCATCATGCTAAATAACTTGGTATATGTTCTTTGTAATTTTATGTTGTTTTTTTTTAAATTAATGAAAGTAACTCAAAAGAAAGGAAAAGGATCAACAAATTTATGAAGTTGTTGAATAGATCCCTCAATCACACTTGTGCTCTTGGGTAAATTCTTTAGCAATTTTTCAAGTTTTTTTAGATAACAAAGTATATTTTTTATGAGATTGTTTTCATTCACACCTACATTACTTTAATCTTCTTATTCATAAACTGCTTTATTTTCTTGGGAAATGACCAAAATAATAATTTAATATAAGAATTTAACTTCATAATCTACATCAAACCATGAACAACAACTTTAGACTTTGAGATAATTGTTGGCTTTTAACAAATTACTGATGAAATAAAAAAATTCAATTGTAATTTTAAGAATTCCACTGTCTTATTAAAAAGTTTCCGTGCTGAAGCATTCATTAAAATTACACAACCTAAACGTTAAATATCTTAATAATAATATCATATGAATATTTGTAGCTTATGTATGGAAAGTAAAAATGTAATTGATTAATATATGGGCCTTTACATGGTTGTATAATATGAGTGAAGGACATTGTCACATTCGTGGAATATCAGTTACAAATCATAAACAATTTATTTTCAAATGTATATAAGTCAATCAAATAAAGAAAGGAAGCTTAAATGTCTAAGCAAGTAATACTATAGATCATTTGTTTCAATAAGAAATTTATATTCTTTCTTTATAAAAGAATTTGATGTTTAATAATTATTTGTCTTTTTTCCAGATTTTTAATATTTCATAGGTTTATTTTTTGAAAGTTCAAAATTATCACTGTGCCACTTTTCTGAACTCTAATGAAAAAATAAATTAAGTGTCATTACACACATGAACACAGTTATTTACCCTATAGTATGTGCTAAAATAACTTATTTACTTTTTATTATAATTTACAATCCTGAAAGTATTAATGCATTATATGGAAATTTACAGACTTCCATACTACTATGATTCAAAATCATAGAAACAAGAGGAAGACTATGTAATACATAGCATAAATTCTTTTATGCATAGATTCTACATTTACAAGCTGAATTGCATATATATAATGTCAGCATAAAGCTTAATCATCTTTAAGTCTAACTAAAATTCTTAACTATAATAAACATTTCACAACTAGTTGTTTTATTGCTAGATGTGAAATTACACAACAACTTTTACACAAAGAATAAAGTTAGTACGCATTTTTGCACTAAAAAACAATTATCAAATAGGTTTTTTGTTTTTGTTAACTAATTCCTGTAGTTAATCTGCAATTTATAAAGTTTTTTGACATGTAAAAAAGTAATTATTTCAAACTCTGAACTCAATGGTTTAATCTAAACTAAAAGGATAATAATTAGAGTGTGAATTCTAAGTGTATATTACAACAAAAATTAGAATTTGACATAAAAATATATTAACAATAATACTTTTACTTCACAACTTAAAACTCAAAACAAAAGCAATAACAAAAATTAAACACAAAATTTACTTTAATTCACAAATTACAACAACAGAGTTAATGAAAGGTAATGCAATTCTTAAGATATAGCAGAGAGAGTACTTTAATTCTTTGAATTACTCTTAAAAAAAAAAGAAGTTAAAACAGCTGTCAAACTTACCCCAAGCCATAAATATGTAACGAATTGGGACATGATACAAGACTACTGTCCCCACTGTTAAAACAAAGATGGCTAACCATGACAAAAATGGGACACTAAAATTGAATGTACTGGAAGAAAAGTAAGCAAAAATTAATTCCAATTAATAGTGATGTCATGTAATAAACAAAACGAAACAATCATGAATGGTTTTTGCTAAAAGCTTGTTATTTCAAATAGTAATATTATTATATTGTCTCAATAATAGAAAAAAATTCAGCATTAATTACCAGTATATAATTATTAAATTATAGTATAAATTTTCTAATATACTCCAAAATTTACATACTACCAGTAAGGCAGTTATATATTTCAATCATATCCAATAAACTTATCATGTCTTTGCTATGTTTTAAAAATTAAGAAAATAGATACAACTTCAGTATGTAAGAATTTTTTTAGACTAATTTGTAAACTATATATATATATATATGTTGTTTTTAGTTGCCTTTTACTCATCACAATGAACCTATATTTATATAAGATTTGAAGAATATGAAAAATTGATGCTACTAATGTATTCTTCTGAATTATTCAGCAGACAAGCTATTTTAAGACCTAAATAAATATAAATATAGGTTCATTGTGGTAAGTAAAAGATAACTCAAAATACCATACATATAATATATACTCTACCACTAGTCTTGTTCTTTCAATTTGCTCTTGTCCAGGGTTACTGATGAGGTGTGGAATTCACCAAAACCAATATAACTCAATGGCAAGTGGTGAATCATACAATATATTGGGCTTCAATTTTAATTTTATTAATTTAAAGAGCTTGTATACTAAATAATTCAGAATAATAAATTACTAGCATCAAGGCTACATATTTTAAAATCCTAGATAAATAGAGAATCACAACAGTGAGTAAAATACAACTTCAAACAATCCACCACTATATGAAGCCTAGTCTTATTAATACACCAATCAAAATTATCTTTTGAGTTTAGAGAAATCATTTTACCATACAAATGGTTTTAACCAAGTTTCCAGAAATATTCTTTAGTTATGCTGTTTTAGTTGTATTCAATCAATGTAAGCCATGTTATATATATATATATATATATATATATATATATA